TAGTCTGGACTGCTCCTCGTTATTAGGATCCGAGCCGATCTAAGTGAATACATCCTTACTAAGTTGCATACTTTTGCGTATGTCAGCTTGTATGCCGTTTTGCAGTATTATTATTAGTATATTCGGAGGTACCTTTTCATGATTTAAGGTTCTATGCTTACGGTTGGGAGGAATTACACTCCCAGGTCCGGTTGACATTTCAATATGCGATATGTTAAACTGAGTTGTTTTTTTTAAAATGTGTACATACACTCGCTGTAGTGATAAATCAGTCCATCTATGCGATAGGAAGCTCGAAAATTCTACACTGAACCATTTTTGAAGGCTAACCAGGGCTGCATGCACAGTTTATACGTCTGTCTCTTAACCTTCTAGTAAGTTGGTGCCGCGAATTGGACTATTTCCTATTCATCTAAATGGTCAAATGGGAATGTTTATTGTAGTAAACTAATGGCGAAGAAACAAGCAGTTTAAAACTTCGGTTCAGTCAGTTGGCCTTCGAACGGACCGCGGTAACACCGACTCCACTGCATTCTAGATGTTTCTGATTGAATAAGGAGGAAATCTCTTTTTTTGACTTCCCGGATCCCTTTGTTTTTTTACTTACCCGTGTTTTCTTCTTGTTTCAGCTCTCCACCAGGCACCCTCACCAATCCCGCAACCTCCGTGGCTAGCACTACTGGCAGCAGTAGTAGTGCCAGCCAACAGCCGAACCTTAGTCAGTCGGTCGCCACGCAGCCTACCGAAGAAAGGACTCCAAAGTCTACCGCATCCAGCATCAGACCTGACCCCGTTACCGGCAGAGGTAGCACTACCACCACCACTATCCCCGTTTCCTGTTCTGACGTCGAAATTTTTGTGGAGTCTATGCCTATCTCCACTCTAGCATCGAACACAAAGACGCCTCAGCGACAGGAACAGCAACAGCAAAACAGCAGCCAAAAATTACCCACCTCTCAGTGTGCCCCACAGCAGGAACGGAGAATCAGCGTTGCACCCAACGTACGCGTCACCGGACAAATTCCTCATTCGTTCCAGCCGATTCCTGTTTCGCCTACCAAGACTGCACCGCCTGCAGTGGCTGCTCAATCGCCGACTAAGCCAATGCCAAAGCACCCCAAAATTACCCTTCCCGTACAGTCGAACAAGTCGGTTGTAGGATATGTCCAAAATAATTCCACCGCCAACCACTCCTCCGCTATGAAAAACTCCAGTTTGATCGACTTGTCTACGAGTCCGGGTAATAAGACACCACCCAAAACATCCCTCCCACCAATCTCCTCCTTCAGCCCTCCCTCCATAATCTCCTCTCCTCACGCCAATCACGCTCATCACAATGGAACGGCTGTTATTTCTACGCCGAACACCCCGAGTTCGACCACCAAATCGCCGGCATCAGCGAGCTCCCTCCTAATAGCCCGCGGTGCTGCTGGCTTGATGTCAC